ACGGACAGGCAACGGTTAGGCCAACAGGACGTGGGGGGGGGCGAGCTCGAAAACTTCGTTACTGAGAAAATAGTCACAAAGCCTAATGATAGTCACACGACTAGGACAAAGCAACCCAGCCCAGTAGAGAAAAAAAGTTAGAAATGTAATGTCACCGCTACCTTGAGATTAGACGTCGGTTCGATAAAGACTAGAAGAGAATACTTAGAAGGAAGACCGAACAGAATTGGGGGAGTCGCTTGTACGAAATTTCCGAGGCTACCGTCAGCCCTGCCAGCCGAAGGCAAAACGCCGTTTCACTATGACAACACAATGAGTTGCGGCCAGCGACTTCCGTCGCCGAAAACTGGCCGATATAAGCGATATCCTAGATTAACACTATGCCAAATTGACTAACGTTGATCGTGTCACTCTGGCCTGAAGATGTCATCAGACTGAAAATAGAAACATGTCGAATACTTAATAAAATTTTTCCATCGGAGTTCTACACCTGACTGCCTCAAGCAGAAACCGTTCAACTGACATTTAATTAAAATCTCATAATTTCGGTTTGAAAGAAATTATTGCCATTACTGCCACAGTGAAAGCAGCTTCATTATCGCCAAAAAATTCTAGTTAACATACATAACGGATAACATCGGTGCTTATTTTTCTGTACAAGTACGCCTACGGACAGTGGCACATCGGAAGGCGTCCGAACAGGAGTCTATTCGACCCTGTCCACTGAAGCAGTTATGCATCCATGCATTGCAAGTGCTAAAATACAATGGAGCCGCAGCCTGCCAAAACGGTCTCCTAAGCTAGGCTACTTAGCAGCAAGGTGAGGGTGCCTGCAAGCCACTTAAATCCAGTAGTAAAAGAAAAATGTTAATAGTTTTATACCTATTAATTACTTCATACCTTCCAACATCAATACAGAAATCCCCACGCAACGTGCCAGGCTGACTTTCCAATGGCTTCGTCGCACCGAGCATTGACCGCGACGCTTTTATAATCTCTGTTCCCTCCCACACCTGAAAGTATGCCAAATCATATACATAATCACAAATCAGGGTGGATTTTGGTACCATAGCTACCACAGGGCCAGATCTCATGTACGCCTTGAGAGGTTCGAAAAACGGCTTTCCTACATGCTCGGCATAATGTTTCGTTAGAAGTTCATCGGAAGGCTGAAATACAACGCAAAATACAAAATTTACTTCTCAAATTAATATTTGTATTGTAACAAGCACAATGCCGCGATACGAGCTGACAGCTCCTGCAGTGGTGCTAACCCCTAGTTACGTTAAATGACTTCGCAGGCGCAGCGGACACAAATTACGGGGTAACGAAAATCACGAAAGGGCACAAGTCGTCGAAACGTCCGTGCTGTGACTGAAGTAATGTTCTTAACAACGGTTCTTGTCAACGCGCGGTTGACAAAATTGTCCTGTTAATCAAGAATGGACAAAAGTTACTGTATATTTCCTTGAGAAACTAAATGTTTCAGCCATCTCGATTAGAAACTTTAATAAGCAAACCAACTGTAATTTATCCAGTCATGAGACTCCGTGGTTTACAGAAAGCATAAACCTGGAAACGGTTTAACTGACTGACATTTCAGCTGAACGCAGCATCATGACATAATGTATCACGATTTTTTTTTTACTTTCATGCACTTTCACCTAAAGCGAATAACGCCTTTCAGCTAAGGCTTCACGGCGTATTGTAACGCTTCTGTGAAGACATGCCTATGGGTCCATTAATGCAGACTAGAGGCCCACAGTATTTAAGCACCTGCTAGGTTAGATGTTTCATAATTTTATTCGCTGGAGCAATCTCCTGCTCGTCAACAACGATAGCTCATGACCTGCTAGTCCTTATATACAACCTCATACGCTTCAAAAATATGGGATAGAACTTTAGAGCCTGCTAACATGCGAATAGGCCATGCAAATTGGGAAGGTTTCTGAGAGTAGCATGATCAGAGTGTTCTTCTGCATCAGAACCTTCAAGCCTGCTAGCTGAGTTACGGAAAAATAAAATGATGTCAATTTCCTACAAAGGTTAGGAAGAGAATACTGTTCCTGCGTTCAGATGTACAAAAGACGATAAACTGCAACCGATGTTTTGGTTGGTATTTCACTAGCTTTCTAAGCAAATCGGTATCAGAATTGGCTCGATTACGCTGAATGAACACAGCCAAGATCAGGAGCAAAATTTGCTCTGATGGTCCGCGTGATTTGGACAGAAACATTGGTAGCGGCTGATACCTAAATAAAACTTCTCTTAAGAAATAAAACGCGTTCGCCGTTTTTTTTAAACACCGATTTGACATGTTTTAAGTGCAGCTCGAATAACGTCCAACGAGATTATAAGATATGATAGAAAAAGACTGCAGCAACACCTGCCTTACCACAATCATCTTCATGGCAACCAACTTATATCCACGCTGCTCGAATCGCTTCAAAACGTCATGCACCAGTCCTCGTTGGACTCCATCCGGCTTTACAGCTATGAAGGTCCTTTCGCGATTAGACATCCTGAACGTTCTGAACAGCGTAAAAATTAGCAGCAACCAGAGGACATTCGATGAAGCAAATGGGAAGAAGCGACAAACGGCGAAGCACATAAATTGTCTACCTGCGCGCACAGCTACCGTACACCCTTCCATCATAATGCAATATATTTGCTCAAGCTCCTACCAAATACAGTGTGAAAAAAGCATGTGATAATCGAAATCGGTATTACATCGTGTGCTATTGATAGACATAATATTTAGTTTGTGAGGTGACAGTCATACTAAAATGACAAGCGATCTCCTGGCTCAATACCAACCGCTGCGGGCAGCAAGAAAAACTTCCTACCGAAAAGAAAACTCGTGAGACCCGAACCGAAATCTCAGCAGTCGTCAATCATCCGATTTACAATATAGCTTTCATGCGTTGCGCATTGACAAACTGTCTTTTATGCGGCTTTTTGTGCTAGTAATT